GTTTTGCATTGTTTTACTTCCACGTGTCTGGCATACAATAAATCGGCGACCAGAGCTAATAACCTATACTCTTCGTGGTTCCTTGTCCTCAAACACTTGGGGTCCTTACCTCAGCCCAGGACCAAACAGCAGGGAGGAGATATCTCCGCATTTGTCACCACTAACTTGTGTAGACTGGCCTTGCCACCAGTGAGGCTAACGCATGAGTAAGTGTGCTATTGCATGAAGTCAATTTTTTTAAATGACATACTCGGTTTTACTTGCGCTGTGTAAGTACAGCTACTCCTGCTAATAAAAGAAATTCCGAGCCACTGCAGAATCACATGGGCCAAACATCATCATCCACAAGCCCAAACAGATGTATTTATCATTTCCCTTACTTCTAGTGATATAATTGACGGTCAGCTTTTGATTCACACAGGAAGAGGAGGTCATCGTCACACAGTTGACATAAAGGCTGTCCGCATCTCTCTTGAAACTGATGTTTGCAATGCTTTGATCAGCCTGCATTGTTTCTCTAGATACAATATATTCAGGATGCAATATATTCAGGATGAACTGTCAGATGGAGAATCTCATGCCACCAAGCCAGGACTCACTTCGGCAGCACACACTTCATGCAAACTATCAAGCTGCCATCCACAAGCATGCCCTTGAACAATTCCCACAAATTCCAAGTCCCCCACATCATTGTTGGCAGCTAGTGGGTGACACCCTACAAATTCAGTGGGGAACATTGCCACCAGCTTATTTGGCTTCAACACAGTATAGCTAAAAGAACGGAAAGTGCAGCAGTCGATAGTATACATGTAAATGTGTGAGGAACATGCTTCCTTGCACTGATCTTTACAAATGCATTGACTGTTGCAATCATGGAATAGAAACAGTGAGCAAAGAAGCTGAAGATGTTGAAATTGAAGATGATGAAGTTGTAGATTCCGATTTAGATTAGAATCATTATGCCAAGGGCAGCAACACATTTTGGTCATTTTCTTCTCATTTATGCAGATATATGAATAAGAAGTGTGTGGAATGTTGATTTGGGAACTTTACAGGGTGTATTTATTGTCTGTCATCGAGAAAACATAGAGTGATTCATAAATAAATGGCTGCATCAGTGGTAGAATAATCCTAGAATTTTTCAGCCAGATCTTTAATCAGCATGGAGGAAGACACTGTCAAAATGCAATTCTTCTGAACTTCTGTGTATGCAGGAGTAACCACTTGCTGCCAGGTGCTTTTAAAAATACAATGCACACATACGGGAGATTTTCAAGATTTTCAGTTTCAAAATTCTTCAAAACTTCATCATTTAATTTAGTGGATATTTACACCCAAGTGAATGATTGTTTGGGGCTACTCTAAGTTGACAGGCAACCTTCATTGGCTCTTGAGTATTTCAGCCAGGCCTGCCGCCCTGTAAAGAGAGCCCAGAATTGTGAGGTGTTACATAATTTCCTTTGTCCCCAGTGAATGTGAGTGGTGTCTGTTCAAACACGGCTGGATAAGTGTGCAGCGGTATTGTGTCGTTCATCAATGGGGCCCTAGAGCACTTTATCTGTGGTGCTAATCCACAGGCACGCTATGCCGAAAACAGTGGTATACTGTTTAAAAACAGTGACGGATTACCTTCAAAAAATTCTAGCCAAAAACAATGATGGCAATTCCCAGCAACAGGTCTTTTGTTCTGAGTACGGTCTTTTGTTACACAGACCAGCTCTTTTGTCCCATTTCGGGCACCCTGGCTCTGCATATAAACCCATGGTTCTCGTTTCCGTCAGCAAGTGGTTAAGAACTTTCCTGGGATTTTTTGACGCCTTCTTTCAGCAAGTTTGCTGGTAAATATATTCTAAGCCTTTTACTGAATCTACTGGTACAACCAAGCTGTGTCAGTATTTCTTTCAGGGACACTTGCCCTTGCACATGTTCAGTATCAGTCAATTCCCATGAAGTCCAACCTTTTAAAAGTTGGAGCCATTTTGTCAGATTAGTAAGGCCCACACAAGGTCCTCGTTGCAGGTCTCATTTGATTATAGTTGGGTTCTTAGAAATTCAGGTGGGTGTACGTAATTAAATTGTAAGCAGACAAGCATGCAAAATAAACTGGTATCCACGCAAAAGATTTATTGACACATTTTATATACCTTCAACATAATGGTTTGAAAAAGGTACACACAAAAAAGCTTACAAGAAATTAATCAAAATATTTTCTTAATGTTGCAGATTAAAAGTGTTTCCCCACCCCCTCATTCGTTAAGGTCCACAACTTCTATTCCTTACGATGTTTAATCAAAACATCAGTGATTGGCATTTATCTAAAATTGTATTCAAGGTTCTTCCTAAATGTCACTTTCCCATTAAAAACAAACCACTGGACAGTCTCTACCCACTTGTTTGTTTAGTTATCACACTTGCACTTCCACAGTGTCTTATAAATAAAAATGTAAGCTTATGCAATCATAATTTCATCCGGGAATCTTTAATCCCTGTATCTGGGTAGACCTGTCAAGAGAGTTTAGAATTTTTCTTGTAAAGCAAATACATACTGAAAATAAATTTAAAAGGAAGGATATATGTTTAGGTTGGCATATTAAGGCCCTCCCCCACTCTTTCAATAGCATGAAAAAAAACTTGCATTCAAAAAAACGTTTTTGATATCAAACCACCTTAGTATTCAGAAAAAACTTGATTTATGTAGCTTACCATTGAAAGACCACAGGAGGGGGATAGACTCTGCCTACTTTTCTGCCAATTTCCACTCCTAAAGGGATCTTTACTATATAGATTTGATGTTTAAGAAGCATATTACATGCATGTCTTTTGAAAACCCTTATATGCCAAATATAAGGTTGGATTTTAGTGGGTAACACAACTTTTTGTCCAATTTTACATGTTTTTAGTAATTAATTAGTTTATATTCATTAAATTGTCATAGGTTTTACAAAGAGATGAAAGTCTTACCGGAGAGCAAACCTAGGTTTCAAGAAAATTGCATTTGAAGTTGGTCTCTTTCAAACATTCATTTTGCCAGTATTTAGCATGCCGTTGAATTAACCAGTGCTATACTCAGTGAAAGAGGAGAACAAAACATTTATGGATGTCATTTAAATTGTTTATTTTTTAAACAAACACGTCTCTCTGTTTGGAAACTCTAAAATTCGCTTGACGTTTTGTCTCTTTGTGAAAACGGCACACACAATACACATGCCTAGCTCTGGGAAAATGTCTAATCTCGGGAAAATGCCTAGTGTAGGGAAAAGGCCTGCATGTAATCCAAGGAAGATGCCTTGTCTCGGGGAAATGCCTTGTCTCCTCATTAGCAGAGCAAAATAGACAATATAATGTTCTGTACAAATCAGGATGTGAGCGTGTGCATGTGTGTACCTGGTGTTGAATTCTTTTGTCATGTGTGTATGTTTTCACGAAGTGACAAAAGTGTGTATAATGCAACAAGGAAAACAACAAGGAAAACAAGACCTATACATTGGGAAAGGGTAAAACCCGTCATATAAATTAACATCTCCCCAACGCAAAAAAAATACATCTTGAAAATAGTTCGTGGTACCCGCTGCTTCATTTGACTCGGACCGGCCAGCTGACCCCGGCAAGCTTGGTGGTCGAGTGGTTAAGACATCTGCACTAGTAAGCAGGAGGTCTTGGGTTCAAGTCCCACCAGAGTAAGCTTATGACTTTTTCGCAAGCTCTCGGACAAGCACTAAGCATACAGTGTTTATTTAATATATACGTTGGGAAAGGGCAAAACCTGTTATATAAATTAAGACCTCTGGGCTTTGCTGTTTTTACGAAGTGAAAAACAAATTTGTTAATGAACTACATGCACTGTGTAATTAAAACAATATTTCAACAACTGAGTATGGATTAGCAATTTGAAACTTTTACCTGTCATAATTGTGCACAGCATGCCTGAATTCGTAACAACAAAGTAGTCGAAAGTGTTTCAATAAATTGGGAGTATTTTTAAACACGTTTATCTTGGAATGTCTTATCACTTAGTAAAAACACTGTTGTTTGGATTTTCCGGATTTTTCTGATTTCCAGATGTTTGGAAACATGTTTTCATAATATATGGATTTTCTATTTGGCATGACTTTGCCAAAGTATTCATATTAGTTTTCAATTTTTGCACAAAATTGAATGCAAGACTTGTGCAAGTTGAGGGTTAGACAGATCATGTCCTCTTGTGTTGTTACCCCTGCTTGAATGCAATGGAACATGGTGGGGGTTTGTGGTACAAAACCTGGAGGACTTGGCAAAGCTTCTAGCTTGTACATTTGCTGTGTATTATTGTCCACGTTTATGATACGGAAAACCCTTCAGGTGCCATTTTGTTTTGTCATGCGCAGTATATCTGTTGTTGCTTTGATTGATCAAAAGAGCTCTTAAAGTCATTGATGGAGGTAGAGATCTTCTCAATTGACGAAGGCTTGAAAAATTCATGACAGTTTTCATGGCTTGAAACTCAAGTGGAAAAAGAAAAAGAGACAGCGAAGGGGGAGATGAATGTTTTGGAATTTTTTAATAGAAAAGATCAGCAAGTGAGGATACTGCAGGTACATGTATACATGTACATAGTGCAATAAATTGTTGAAATGGAGAATTGAGAGACATATTTAGAGACAGTTTTCCCTGGATTTTTCAACTTCATTAAATCTCACCCCTGACATGTACATGCAGATGAATGCTGTCAGTCCTGTTGAATCTCGTTACAATGGGAACACTCTTTACACTGCTTGTGACTACTCTTTACACTGTTAGTGACCACTCTTTACATTG